AGCCTAATTTGTCTGGAGAACGCGGAAGGTCGCTCCGAAAAAGCGCTAAGCACTTCTAAACGTTACTCTAATGAGCGCAAATTGCTGTTTACGCAGCGCTGCGGTGTAGCACGACTGCATACAGAATGCAAGGCTCTTGTATGCAGCAGAGAAAGGACTGAGGAAAATCCTCGCATTGAATAAGTTTAATTACAAATAAATTTGATATAATTAAAAATTGCTGTTAAATTATTCTTTGCATACCTAAAAAAATAGAATTTACAAAAATGAGATAAATCTTAGTATTAATAATATCCTTAATCAATTTTTTTCATTATCAAAAATTTATGAAATTTATTTACAGTTCTAGGAATCTTATATTGCTCCATAAACGCATCGAATAAGTTTAATTATAAATAAATATGATATATTTAAAAATTTCTGTAAAATTATTCTTTGCATTTGAAAAATAGAATTTATAATAATGGGATAAATATTAGTATTAATAATATAAAATTTATGAAATTCATTTACAGATTTCTAAAAGAAATAAACAATCTTATATTACACCATAAACGAAAACTACTTACCTCACATTTCTTTTCGCTTCGTTGCTCTTTCAGTTTCACCGATTCACCCGAGATAGAGAAAGTGAGAAGAGAGAGAGAGAGAGACAAGAAAGAAATCTGTACGCGGATAATTACGCAAGATCAGCGGTCATATCGGTAGGGTCGAAATTCCGAGAAGCTGGAGAAACCGTAAAGATTTCAATGACCTTCTTCTCTACCTACCGCCGTAGTAGGTAGTCCTGCGGTGTCCCGCGTTCTTCGAGGTGTGCTTCTGGCACTCCTCGAGAAGAAGAGGAAAGGACACAGGAAAGGAGAGATGCAACGAAGATATCAGAAGATCATCCTCGAAGAAGAGAGCGAAAACGAAAAAGCGGAACGGCAAAGAACACTGTAATATCGTCCCATCCCGAGAGAAGGACGCAGAAAAGAGTGAGAGAGAGAGAGAGAGAGAGCTGATCAGAATGCAGGACCCACGTTCTCTTCCTCGCGAGGCCTCATCCTCGCGAGGAGTCGAGCCCGGTGGCCCGCGTTCGGCAGAAATGGCGCAGCGGCTTAAGACCCGTGGAATTATCCTCCTGTAAACACCTACCTAATTAAGATTGGAACATTTTAACGTCCCGCTCGGGGGACCCCATAAACCGCCTAACGTACGGCCAGTTTGTTAGGCGCTTATGGGATCGTTTAATTAATATTGGCATCCGCGCGGGCAGCGCGCCCGGACTCGCTCGAAAACGGTGAAAGACGACCACCTCCGGCGCAGCTTGGACTCTTCTGCCTCTCGGTAGATTACACTCGCGGACTCGCGACTCGCGCGCATATATCGGCTCACGGCGGGCGCCCGGGTATACATTAGTCCTCAAACTGGTGGTCATTTGCTGTGTCGCGACGTTCGGTGGTATCCTTATCGGACCTTCATCCTCCGGCGAGTCCTGTTTGCTACGCGCGAGCACGTTCGTTTAATCGATCGCGCACAAATGAACACGTTTTTTCAGTTATGCTGGACAGTAGATTTTCTTGGGATTCCGAGACATTCGGAATTTGTATCTATTAAAAATTCCTAAATATATGCTATTTATTCGAGAAATGTCATTATTTCATTCAATATATATCCTTAAATTCCATGCTGGAAGACTAAAAGCTTTTTCGAGAAAAAAAATGTTAAACCATGATAACGCCATAGCAACATAATGTGTCAAAAAAGCAGACAATTAAAAAATATCATGATATTAAAATATAACATAAATATTTCTATATAAACGTGACGAATAATATCCCGATACGTAATCATGTAGACTTATTCGAGAAATGTCATTATTTCATTCAATATATATCCTGTATCCTTAAATTCCATGCTGGAAGACTAAAAACTTTTTCGAGAAAAAAATGTTAAACCATGATAACGCCATAGCAACATAATGTGTCAAAAAAACAGACAATTAAAAAATATAATATTAAAATATAAAATAATTATTTCCATATAAACGTGACGAATAACATCCCGACACGTAATCATGTAGACTTTGTCGCGAGTTCCACGTTACATCTACGAGTATATAAGTTGCGTTTAAGTGAAAAACGCAGTCAGAGTTGCAACTATAAAAATACGCGAGGAAGGCACGCAACAACAAACAGGCGCTCTCGTTGCCGTAGAAATTTATCATCGACCTCCACGAGACGAGAGACGTGGAGCGAGCGAGTGCTCGCGTATTAAGCGAGAGGGTTGCACGAGCGAGGCCCCGAAGAGAGAGAGAGAGAGAGAAATGTGTGTGCCCCGACGTGTTCTTGCACGGTCCGGAGAGGGCGGCCAGCGCCGATTAATCACGGTCGCATTTTGCGGTTTTGTCGCGCGTTACGACCCACGTGCGTTCCGCGGGCCCCATTGTTCCGCGCCTAATCGTTCCGGGAACGATGTCGGACAGTCGTACGCCGTGGGAGAGTTCCCGTCGTACGTGAAACCCGCGGATCCTCGCACACATTTCACTTAGGAGAGTCTGCGTCCTCCCGTCTCTGGACCGATTCAATATCTGAGAATGCGAAATTAAAATGGATTTATTTATTTTTTTTTTATATAATCTGTAACAACTCTTTAATAAATTAATCAACAACCAAAAGGCGATAAGAGCTAATTAAATTCTATCAATTAGTAAATTATTTGTGAAAGGATGTATAACATAAATATTAAATATCGTTCGAATTTATTTATGTTATACATCCTTTCACAAATAAATTACTAATTGATAGAATTTAATTAGCTCTTATTGCCTTTTAGTTGTTGATTTATTTTTTTTTGTTTGTTTGTGTGTGTCGGATGTGTAATAATAATTTAAACAACAGTTTTATTGATGTAATAAAAGCTTGAAAATATTTCTCCTCGATTAAAAAAAAAAAAATGAATATCAAAAGATATTGAATTAAATGTCAAAAGACATTTTTTGTGTGACAAGTATGAAAAAATGATGTCTTTATTGTCATTTTATTGTTGATGCAATGACGGTGAAATCGAGATTGAAACCGCATTCTCACACCGTTCCCGATGTTTTCATCAGCGCGTAATAACCGGTGTACCGCGTTTTTTCCTCCAAAATTGAATTATCGGGAAGTCTCGCTTCTCTCCGCCGCGGATGAAGATCCTTGTCTCGGAGAGGAACGAAGATCGGGACGAAGGGCGAGAGATGGAGATTCTAAAAATGGCGGACGAACCTACGGTAACTCGAGGGCCAATTTCGAGGGGCCATTTTTCCCCCGAAGGGAAGAACGTCGACGGCAGCCGAAAATTACCCCGGACGGACCACCCAGTCGTGCCGCGGCAGACCAATCTCCTGGCCATGGGCTAATCGAGTCCAGACAGTCCCCCTTGGTGGGGCTAATTGCGCCTCACCACTTTCGTACCTCTCCGAGAGGTCGACCTCTCTATTAAGAGACTTTTACCCGGACGCGCTCGCACGCCGCGTCGTGCCGCGTCACGTATTAAATTGGAGGGTGTAAGCTCGCCTCTCTAAGAGTCTTTTCTTTAAAGAGGGTTTTTCTTTTTTTTTTTTTCTCCTTTCTTTTTAGACACGGATTGTGTGGGAATGCGTGGAACCGTTGGTGGCGAATCACCAAGTTAATCCCGAGTAATCTCGGACGTTCGTGATGTTATGCGGGAAATTTTCTATGAATATCTAGCATCAGTCAGACGCTGCAAAAACCGCTGTTTGTTTGTTATTCGATTTGCCATCGCTCGCTTTTATTATTTGATTATTTTGTATTTACGTCTATTATCTGGGAGAGTAGATAATATATAAAATTATAATACTTTTAAAAAAATTGTTCTTTCTTTAATTAACAAGTTGAAAAAGAAGACGAAACATTCGAAACATAAAAGATATATCTAATTGTAAGTCTGGAAAAATTATATCGCTGGAAAATTGATTAAAATGAAATATAATTTCCTGTAATAAAAAGTATTTCCATAAATAATTGTTGAAATAATACACATCTCAATCGATATTTGATACAATAAGTTACAATATATTAAAATCAATAATATAGTCTCAACACACACTGCAAAGCTAAGACTCTTTACAATATCCATAAATCAGAAAAGAATATTTGCCAATTTTCAGAAGTGTAGGTTTGAGAAAACAAAAGCTGTGTCGACAGGGCGGAAAATGTAATAAAAAGTAAAGGAAAGGCTCGCTTCTTTCGGCTTTATGGCTTCCGTTATCGCCGAAACGCGCCGAGTGCACACGCGATATGACGCGAGTCTTCGGCAACCTTTATGGTTATGCGAAATTCCTTTCTTTTGACGGTGGCCATAAAACTATTTTACAAGAAATGGTGGTAGTTCTTTACTGCCCAACTGTCATGTATAAACCTGAATTACAGGTAAACGTCCGTGTTTTACACGATACCTTGATATACGAGGCCTCCAAGTTCTCGATGTTTCTTTAATTTATCCCTATTACCACGTTTTCAGGCGTGTGTGAGAACGTATACATATATATACAAAAAATTCCTCGTCATTCGAGGATGTTTCTGGAGATTAATTTTTTAGCGCTTCGTTTTTCAAAGTTTGATAAAAGATTTTTTTCTTAAGAGAGTGTCCTATCCAAATAAAACAGAATCAGAGAGAAAAAGAAACTAGGCAAGCATCTGACACTAACAATGGGCTGAAGACTGTTGACACGTCTAATCTCAAACTCTAAGAAGAAAACTAATGTACAAATCAAATAAATTTTATAACACCGATCTCTCTTTCATGCCGGTTTTAAATTTATCTCCGCTATATAAGTTAAAGATTTCAAAAATTTCAAACGTACACAATGCTTTATACTTGTCAAATATTACTACAATCCATTAAAAATATATAATATAGAATAATTTTACACTTACCTGTAAGCATAAGAAGGTGGAGGATAAAATCGAAAAAGGATCGTTCGAAGTAAAGTTGAATTAAGTTAAACGCTGAAATTTCAAATACAATTAAAATCATATATTTCTTCCTTCTATATATGTTCGCATTCTAAAATAAATCGTCACTACTAATCTTAATAAATCTTAATAGTAACGAAACGAGATTCGTCCGTAAATACAATTTTTTCTCTTCATACCTAAGTCATATATTTGCACAAGAGTGCAAAACATTAATAATTTCAGTCTTATGTACATAAAAAAGGAAGCCTTGTGGCGCGATAAGGCTCGTTTAATCGATTAAAAAAGTATAATTATTCGAGAAACGGAAGAAGCTCGTGTAAAGTTCGTTGATTGAAACATGAATGATCGAACTGCGACGTATGGCACAAAAGCTTATATATCACGCGAGGAAAAAAAGCAAAACATAATATGGATGTAGACGCGCAAGCGAGAGCAAAGTCCTGAGTGTTTGCCCGACTGTAATCAAAAATTTGCATAAAAACTCGATGCGACATAACGTCGAGATGTTTGCGATACGTCGTTAATGTCGAATTGATCACCCGGGATTTCGCTCGAAGCTCGACCTCGCGGCGATTCAAGCAGAAAAGCGAGGCATTACTATGCGAATTGATGGCGCGTTATGATGGTCCGACGGATATACTTTACATAAATTCATCATACGACTACACGTGCGTATTAATATGTATTACGAGCACTGGAGATACGTGGAAAGCTTCAGCGCGAGTAAAAAAGAAAAAAAATCACCCTTGCGTCGACGGCGTCGGCGATGCTGATAATGACTATTATACGTAGAATCGATTCTATCTAGCAGAAACCCGGATTAGAAATCAAGAAATTTTCGTTTTCATTAAAATATATTCAATTTTTCCTGAACTAAAAATATGAAAAGTAGATTAATGAGATTTATTAAATCCTGAAGAAATATTTAGACATTCTGTTATCATTAAGATCAGAGAAAGATATTTTTAGGTAACGTTGCGAATTATTTTTATTATCTTCCCGAAACTTGAAGAAGAGATTAGCAGTCTAATAAAAATCTAGAATACGACTTGTAAACGTATAGAACCGATCCCAGTTATAACAATGAAAATCTTTGACTACATACAACCTATCTCATTGTCAGCATTGATATTTCATCAATAAGACTACGTCGAGTTTTATATCAAAAATATTCAATTTTACAATTGCAGACAACTCATAGATATGTAGTCGAAGATGTCCTGCAAAACGCGAAGAATCGCGTCTAGGTGCATCGCGGACTCGCGTCTGACTCTGCACGCGCATGTACTACTGACGTTCTCGATCCCGCTCCTTACGTTCGCGCGTACGATAAACCATTTAAAAAATCCTAAACACATACATATCCTAAGTAACCTAGATTTACCCGCGACCGAGAATATACGGTCGCGGTATAAATCGTAAATCACATGTCATCTAAACATTCGTCGTTGAACATTCAAGATCGAACCGTAAATCGTATAAAAGTATTCTTATATATTACAAAACCTTATTATGTAATAGATGTAATTATCACGAGCGTACCGAGGGAAAGACCGTAGATTAGCAATGGCTGCGATAAAAATCGAAAACTGTTCATCGTCGCGTTAAGCACCAATATTGAATATAAAAAAATATATGCTTCCATATGCTGCAACAATTGACATAAGTCAAATCGCTAACGTCTCCCACAGAAATGAATAGTGAGACAACAAGAAAAGTTTGATTAAATATTCGTGAATATTCCTCTCCATTGTTAGGAAAAACGAAACAGCATTTCGGCTAATAATAATTATATTCCGACTCGCGCAAAGAATATAAATCATTCCTCTCGGCACATTGTGTCACCTCAGTCTACTCTAATGTAAAAAATGGCGGTGCAAAGCCAACTCGAAAAATTCTCGACGTTGTCATATATTTGTATCGATATACCAAAAAGTTTGTTCACTTACTACTTCGACACTCTAGCGACAAGTGTTGACGGTCTTCTTGACGAGGCATGTGTTGCACGTGACCTCGCAACACCACCGAAACCTACACTGACAATTGGTCTTCTCCTTGATGATCTTGGTCTCGTAACCTCTGCTGCAGCAGAGCAACTCACAACCCTCGATCCCGGGACTAGTCTCGTTGCACTGACGACCCGTCGTCCCTAGCGAGCCGGTCTTACGATTCAGCTTGCAAAAGTCCGGCGAGTCTTCGCTGTAGATCAGGTCGAATCTACCGGGCGGCTTGATCGTAGGACCCTCGGTGATGAAACTGTGACCGTCGTTGCTGGGAATGACCTTGGCTGCGCCGTCGAAGGACTCCTTCAAGCGATTACCGACCTCCCGGAACGATGGCATTTTGCGCCAACAAGTGCGCACCGTACAGGAACCGGAAAGCCCGTGGCACTTGCACTCAGTCTTCATAAAGTTACGTACAGCCTGAGGAGCGAATGTAAGCAACGCGTCGAATTGCAAGACATAGTAAATCGAGTTGAAGAATCAATGATTCAATAAAATGCCAGTGGTATATAAATCACATTAGATACTTATTAATTATAACTGTAATGACTTTTTAAAATACCTCTGATTTTGTTAGAACAAGATATTATAATAGTTGTTAAACGCATTTCATAAATATATAGTAGTATGCAATATTCATCATATTATAATAATAGTATAAAAAATTTAAAAAGAATTAATATCGTTCATCATCAAACATGCGCGATTATAAAATAAGCATTGATAGCAAGCAATAATAATATACAATGAACTGGAAATGCATAAAGAATAAATATAAAAAGAATTCTTACCAAACGTCCAGCATCGTTGTTGTGGAGCTTTACTAGTGTTTTAATGTCGCTTCGCTTACGATAAGGCGCATCCATGAAAGCACGAGATTTTCTGAAGCCGAAATTCACGTTATCACCGCATCCACCCCATTCCCATTCTCCGTCTGTTGGCAAACTTTTCTTGGCCTCGGCTCGCGCGAATTTAGACAAACGATTACCTGCGCAAGCAATCGCCACATTTTCTCCCTATTTTAAACAATTTAATTTTCGCGAAATGCTGACAAAATCGTATGTATAATACACGAAAATTGCATATTGTAAGTACAGTTTTGAAGAATTTATTATCGATATTACGCGTTGCAATTTTCTTGATTAAAAAAGTAAAGATATAAAAATCTCTTTTTTTTTATTTATTGCGGAAAATAATAATTTTAATATATATTGTGAAGAAATGTTTACAAGTCTATAAATTATTATAGATTCTCTCCAATGTGAGATTAATGAGAAATCGATATGTGAATTAAATTATAAAGTTAAAAAAGCAAGCTTTTACCCTTCGTCATCTTATCGCAGGAACATTCCACGAGGTCACCCATAGTGCAGGCTCTCGTAATCGCATAAGTAACTCCAGCTGCGGTGATGGCATTCACGAAACCCGTCTCCCGCGTATCTGAAAGCACACGGCGGAGAATCCAAGATCAATTAATGGACTATTACCTTGGTAGTAGTGTGATCTGCGACGTAAGTCACCGATCTCTCGTGAAACAAAAAGAAGCGCGCCATGTGCACGGTAAACGAGTGGAAAGAAAAAAAATTAGCAAGAATCTCTCTCGGTTGCGTACGGAGAGTCACGAAGTCGGAGGATGCCGGGAGATAAGAAGCAATGTCGGCGAGTAAAGTTGAAGAAGGTCACATAATCAGATCGCTCGAGAAACAAATCGGATTACGCATCGACCGGCGAATAAGACAATTTAGAACCTTTGTATGTGTGTCTACCTTGTGTGCATCTGTATGTGTCCGGAGATCTTTGAAGTGTACATTAATTAATAATATATTTCATGGTTGAAAATAAATTCCAGAAAGTTTCATTTAAGAATATTTTTGTGCTAATGAATTCCGCGAGAATCAGTTTGCTAAAATTGATCGTACACCTTTAACACAATTATATTTCGTACATCCATATACACCGCGCATATAACACTCAATAAATATATTTTGTTCGTAATAATACATTTGTCGTTAATATTTCTTAGACCGATAGTTTTAAAAACACTTGAGCAACTTTTCAACAAACGTGTCTCGCGGAAATCATTAGTTGGCTCTCTAAATGATCTAGGTCAGTTAATCTGAAAAGGCATAGATCTGATTACGACAGCGTTTAACCATGAACCAGTTATACAGATCGGAACATCTATGTATTCCTATCAAGATCTCCATGCGTCATTATCCAAATGTCAAGTATGAAATAAACGACGCGATGCAAGGTGTAATTTAACACCTGATATTTACTATTAGACGCGCTACAGTGGTTGCTTATATGGCAAAATAATAGTCATATATAATAATTAGTTGATATAGCAATAAGCGATTAACGCTTCTTCGAATTTTTTTCGCAGACAAATCGTCAACTGCAAATAACTTATTTATCGGGTCATATACAACACGTATTCTTCAATACCACAACTTCCTTCCTTCAGTCACTTGACCTTGAATCCGTACGCACCCCACGATATCAAGTTGCATCCGGCAATTCGGTGAGTTGTGGGTGGCGCCGGTCGCGAATAGACCGCACGAAAAGATCAGCATGAAAGAGGGATATGTCATCAATGTCGAAGGCCTTGGGAGCAGAAGCCCATTGGTGGGTTCCACAATTCCAGCCCACGCTTGTCTGACTGCGATGTAGGTGTACCCACGAGGATCCAGGGAGACTCGCGCCCGGTGCAAACTCCTCCAGTAGAGCGTGTGCGTGTATTCGGTTTCACCTGTCACGTCTCCACTCAATCATTAAACGGACAATGCGCACGACGCGGAATTTCACCCCTTTTCAAAACGGAATATCGCTCGGTCGACCATTGTCTCTGGCCTCCTCTCGAGCATCCGGTTTTCGCACGGTGCATGTCAGATTGCGTTTTCATTTTTGCATTCTATATACGCATGCATTTCTCTAACTCTCACCTTATCGCATATTCTGAAATGTTAAATATGTCTTTCTTGCTTATTTATTTAATAGATTATTTATTTATTTATTTATTAAATGCGCGTTCACAGAAAATTTAAATATGGGCTGCGACACCTCATTAAACTGACGTCGTCCTTCTTGCGAGATACTTGTCGAGGATCGCCGAGATCGTCCCGCGGATCTTGAATCGATATGATCTTCACTTCAACGCCGATACGTCGGAATTAACTCATAACGTGGAATGCCCGCCCAATTACGGATTCCAGCGAAGGGAGAGAAGAGCAAAATCGGTAGCCATCGTGAATATCGAGCAGCGATGCATCGACGATGCGAAATTGTATCGCGATCGCATCTCGGTTCCTTTTCAGAAACTTGTTGCGCGATTCTCTGTCAATTATCGGTGATATCGATAATATCGATCGTTGTGCTATCGAGCAGAAGAACAACAACGTACTGTTCCGATCCCTCTTTTTTTGCATTTTTATATCATTTCTTTTCATTTTTGTTGTAGCTTATTTACACATTTGTCGTATCTCATATAAATTTATTATTACACACAACTCTCCTGAGAATTTTTAAAACAAATTTTTATTTATTTTCTTTTTTTAAATATTAATAATATTAATAAACATTATTGTCTCGCACTACAATATTTAGAATAATGTCAATATTACTAATATTAAAAAGAAATAAAATGAATGAAAATAAAGAATAAAAATCGAGCGAAAGAAAGAGAAAGCACGTATGTACCATATATCAAAGTACCATAGTGAACCGGAGGCAAACGCGAAGATGAGACGTACAGGGACTCCGAATGCTGGACTCCACTGCGACGCTAGGGAGGAGTTTATACGCGTTAAGTCTGGTTCTTCGTGGTTCCCATGGATTCCAAGCGCAGTATCTTTAGCGCGGATCGACAGCGCGGACGGAACCGGGAGGACGCAGGCCTGGGGAAAGAGAAGAAGGCTCCTTGCCACCGCCCGCGTATCTTCTGATGCATCGCCTCACCTTTCAGTGCGTATTTAAACGATACGATAGTTTTATACGAGCGATCTGATATCGGTATCTCGAGAGAGGCCTGGCTTCTCCTCCTCTTCTTCTTCTTCCTTCATGGCCGATCGATCGCTCGTTCCATCTCGTTCCGGTTCGAAATGGCACATCGGGCCCTTTAACATGACGGAAGCATCGAGGCTCTTTCGAGCTCACGCGGCCGGATCGTTTACGAGAGTCCTCTCTGCTCCTTTTTCGCAGCCTCGGATCTCCAGGCGCCGTTCGGATCGGTCCTAAATCCGAAGGAATCTCAAGAGAGTCGTTCTCGAGGATGATTTTTTGTTCTTCAGCTAGGAAATTATTTCGATCTGTCATATTGCAGTGCGATTTATGTATCTGAATAATTATAACAAAATTATCTCATATTTAATATATCCACGATATAATTTAATCAAATTTACATTAAACGATAGAAGACATCGAAGATGGAGAAGAGCTGCTTTCGATCTGCGTCTCGAAATATTTCTACGAACGACAATTCATCCGAGCATTTTGATGATGCGCGGGAAATGCCGGAGGAATGAACGGCAGATAATATAAATCACTTGGAATCAATTAGACACGAGGGATCGATGATCTCTCTTCGCGGTGCCAGCTGCACCTGTGAGTCCCTTCGTCTCGGGTCTTCCCGGACGGTTCGGGCCAATTATCAGCATTCCGGGGCATTATCCTCGGACTTACGCCGTGTTTAATTGCGCGAGTATAGTCTCCTCTTCTTCTTTCCCCATCTCCCTCGGCTCTCTTTTTCGTAACGTTCTCTCATTATTCTACACGAAGAAATAACTCGAAAGGCAGTAAAACGCGCCTCCGCATAGCGAGTAATTTCACTTCCGGAAAATATCCTTTCCGCGAAAATGTCTTTTCGATGCATTATTGAGAATGGAATCTTGTCTCGAGGTAAGATTGCGAATGACGTAAAATAACGTATGACTATATTACATTGAAAAAATTAATTAAATTAATAAATATTTATTTCAATATTGCCTAATACCTAAAAGGATTTTCTTATATTAAATAAATATTTTTCACATTAAATCAATATTATTAATTTCAAATGATTCATTTGGCAGTATTGAAATAAATACTTGTTCGAATTCAATAAATTTTGTTCGGTGTATGACTGATGTAGTTAAAAGATATTGTTCGGTAATTATATTATAGATACTTTAACGCGTCATGTGACATAAGAATAAATTGAATGCAATATTCTCTTTCGAATCTTGCCTTCGATGTACGAGTGACTCGCTTTTGTCGGTATGCACCTTTCAGTTTTAATCGCTTGTATTATTAATAATGTCGAGCATATTCCCGAATCCTTTAACGGAGGATTGACCGTCAGGGACCGTTTATGGGTAAAAAGAGATTATATTGCCTGTCTCGTGCAAATTACTCACATTGCATCAGCGTTGTCGACTGACATATGCATATAAATATACATCGGTGCATCGGCGGCATTCTTTCAATATTGCTATATACTGTGAAAGAGGAATATCGCGAATGACATTCCACTTGCCACGAACATATACACACATCGTTCGGTTCGGATGATCGTGATCCATTTGCTTGTCAATTATGTAACCTCGTAGATTACGCAAGATATCCCCATACTGTAGAAATGTACGCGTTTTTATTCACTAAATGCGGGATTTCAATATGGCACAATTCGATGATAGTGATGAATCTTTAAAGACCGATTATGCTAAATCTATACATTATCAATTCGAATAATACACTGTTCAATTTAATTGATCAAATTCGCACTTGATTTCCTCCCACAATTTTTTCGAACAATCCTCTCCAATTGTACAATTTTATTTTATCAAAAAAATTCGACTAAGCCAATCATAATTTGCATCACAGATACATCTTTCTAATAAAATTTTCTGTAGAGTGATAAATGAATAATATAAAATTTCATTATATTAAAAACTAATCAGAAATAAATCACTAACATTAACATCTTCTGTAATGTAAGATTAACATTACCTATATATTCAATATATATTTGTGAAAATATGCAAGAGTGTGCAAATGTGCAATTGCATTACACAGCCGTGCAAATCTTGTAGGGACTCGACAAATCCCTCGTAAATCTCGCGGTGATTAATCGATCGGTCGGATCATGCAAGTGCGCAATTTGCGGAGATGCGTCGGGCCGCCATTGTAAGAATTATGTCGCCGTTGTGCCCGGTCGACGCACGTAGATGGTATCGATCGTTCGTTCGCAACCGAGTGATTTGTTTAGCCACGAGACGATCTATCGGGCCGGATGCACCGATTCATGCGCAATAGAGATCGTACTTGGTACTCAATCCTCGTTCATTCTCGCCGAGACATTGCTTCGATCTGTTTTCAACACATTTACCGCAAATTTTCAATGTATTATTTTTTACATCATATATATTTTTTTCTCAAATAAAATAATTTATTAAAATATCTCG